AGAGAGAGAGAGAGAGAGAGAGAATGTTAACTAGAAATGGCTTGGGCTTTTGAAACCTTTTGAACTTCAAAGCCCACCCTCGGTGACATCCATCTTCTAACATGGCTACACCCAATCCTTTCCAAACAGTTCCACTAACTAGGGACCAAATATTCAAATATATAAGTCTATGGGGGCCTTTTCATTTGAACTACCACACAAACACTTCACCTACTGATCATCTCCCTAGCTTCTATAGCATATATTTTAAATTTTGAATGGCATTCAGTTTAAAATATGTTGATTGTCTTGCAACCCTTTTGGAAGTCAAGAAATACCTGCCTTACATCATAATTTAAACAGATTTTCCTAGGAGTATAATTCATCTTGAAATAGTTACATTTTCAAGACTAGAAATATTTGCTTTCAAATGTATGTGTTCTCTGTTTAGAATGCCCAATCTCTTTTTGACTTTCTTTAATTATCTTTCCTTCACTAGTATTATTCCCATACTGCACATTGTCTTCTGTGTTTTCTCACCCAACTCCATGAAGAATAAGCCACATGCTCTCAGTTTAGATACCTAAGATGGCCTTACCCTCTGAGAGAGTGAAGAAGGAAGTGATTGAATGGAGCTTGGGGCATGACAATTCCCTCCAGTGGCTCTGAGAGGCTGGTTTAATAGGTGCAACCAACTATCATAAATAGGAATTGTGGTGCAGGTTCTAGGACAGTGGTTCTCACCCTGTGGGTCATGCCCCTTTTGGGGGTCAAACAACCCTCTTGGGGTTCAAACAGCCCTTTTACAGGGGTCACTTAAGACTATCAAAAATAGCTGTTTACACTATAATTCATAACAGTAGCAAATTATAGTTATGAAGTAGCAAAAGAAATAATTTTATGGTTGGGGGGGTCACCACAGCAAGAGGAACTGTATTAAAGAGTCACAGCATTAGGAAGGTTGAGAACTACCGCTGTAGGAGCTTCTAGTACTGGCTTAGACCCAAGAATATTTGAGAAAGAGATGGTGAAGTGTGTAGTGACCTAGGCGTTGAGTACAGGCAAGAGGAGGAATCATTCAAGTAAGATTATTGCAAGCCTGGCATTCCAACCTTAGACCCCAGGAGCTTCTCAGAATCAGGAACACCTGTAATTTATTATGAGGCTAAGGGTTTAAAAAATAATGATTTTTATTTTTTAAAATTAGATATTTTATTTATTTTTATATTAAATATATTATTTATTTTAAATTAAAATGTAATTATGTTATTTCTACTTGTTTCCTTTCAAATTCATGGTCCCTATTTACTTTTCTGGTTTCTGCAGTTACTTTAGGATATATTCTCATGTCTGAAGATTTGTAGCTAGAACTACAGAAGAGAGAAAACATGTGATATTTGTTTTATTAAATTAATATTTATAAAACAGATGCATTCAATTCTTTGTCTTGTTATCTCATTATACTAAGTAAAAATGCAAACATTTTAAAACACAAAACGACTTAAAAAAATTCACCATATAAAAACATAACTCTTACTTAAAATATCTTGTTATTCCAAGGATAAGTTATATACAGTACCTACTTCACTTGCATGCATTTTAAATAAATAAATAACATCTATGTTACAGTAAGTGGTGGTATTTCACATTGTGAATATTTTGGCTGCTTTAAGGGACCATTTGTCACATAGAAGCCATTGATCTGCATTTTCTTTCATTAACTTACAGGTCTTGAAGATACTCTGAACAGTAAGGCAGGCTGAGACTCACCTTTCTCATTCCAGACAATGTTGTGTGATCAGTTATTGGTTGAAAGAGGAAAGATGGCATACCCAGAGCTGCCATGTACTTCCTCTATTTCCCAATCCCTCTATCATAAGTGGAGAATTGTTGGGGTTGGAAAGGACAATAAGGTAAAAGGGAAATATCTATAAATGCAGTTACCCAGATACATCTCAATAGACTGTTGAGCCACGTGCCTGGGAGTATTCTTTGCATACACAACTAGGAGCAGGAGTATTCA